TTTTTTTCCTTTTACACATCATTTTGATGATATACAATCAATCTTCACAAACTCTTACCAACTATAAAGAGAAAAATAATACTGGATTTGTAGCAAGACTTCCTGAATGCAAAACCTGCCTCAAAACCACTTCATGGAATATAGACCTAAATTATAAAAGCTAAAACAAATAAGAAAAGCCACTTTAGGAGAAAATCTTTTGATTTTAAGATAAGAAAAGATTTCTGGGCTAGAACATTAAATGCATAAACCATAAAAGAGAAAAGTTATCAATGAGAATTCCTCAAATCACTTCTGTAGTTGGCTAACGTGGATAGTTGTTGAAGCAAAGAAGCCTGAGAGAACTTTTCTAGTTTTGGAAATTTTCTGTCTTCTTTATGGTTGTGATATGGATATATAGGATTTTCAAGTCATCAAATTCTACTTAAAATGGATACATTATTGCATGTAAATTATATATCTAAAAGTTCCTCCTTCCTAGGTACAATGAGGCAGGCCTATCATCTAAGCACTTGAGAGGCTAAGGCAGGAGGATTACAACTATGAGAACAACCTGGGCAACTTAGGCCCTCTCCAAAAATTAAATTGTTAGCCAGGCATGAGGGGTGGGCCTGTAATCTACCACTCAGGATGCTGAGGCAGGGGGATCACATTGAGTATGAGGTCAGCCTGGACTACAAAGTGAGTTCAAGTCCAGCCTGAACTGCATAGTGAGACCCTATCTCAAAAAAAAGCCCAAAAAATATTTAAATTGTTTAGAAAAGGGGAATGGAGGTACAGCTCAGTAGTAGAGCATTTGTCTAGCATGCTTTTATAAGACTAAGTTCAATTCGCATTACTTAAAAAAAAATTCTTGCATATTCAGACTCGAATTTTACTTCAAAAATAAGTAGTTTCAGAATATTTTCATAGCTTATTTTATGGATTTTATTAACTTTTTCACATTAGAAAATTGGTACTTTTTAATTGTAGACAATCTTGAATTTAAAGGTAAGATATCTGTTTTCCTCTTTATTAATTTATCTTTTACAAGTAAGGAATCTAAATGTGAAATTGAGTGTATGGACTAATTTGCATTTTTAAAAAACACTTTATTACTGGTGACCAAAGGTGCAGTGTGGACTGGCGACAACACAGCAGAATGGAGTTACCTGAAAATTTCCATCCCAATGTTACTCACTCTCAGCATTAGTGGGATCTCTTTTTGTGGAGGTAAGACAAGTCCTGGCCTAAGGCTAGAAGTGTGTTTTTGTCAAAGCCGGTCAGAGAAAATGGGAGAAAGTGAAAGCGAGTTACAGAGGAGAGTAAAAGAGGAGCTTCAGATTTGCTTGTGTCTTGTCTGGATTGAGGACTGGAAATGAGCTTGTCAGGACAGTCAGAGTGTTTCCTTCCCTTGCTGTCTTACCACTCCCTCCTGAGACGCACTTGGTAACTAAGTTTATCTTTCTGAAACATACAGAGGTATGACCAAAATACATGTATTTACATTTTAAAAGCTATTTCAATAATAGACACATTGTTGTTAATCCCCCTCAACATACTCCCCCTTGCTTTGAGCACATCTGTCTCATCATTTTTGCTACTTTCTGAAGTTGTGGAAGTCCCCTTCCATGAGTATCTTTATAAGATGTAATAAAAAATACAGTGAATGCTGCTGCCGAGCACCGAGCACCGTACAACAGAAAGGAACAGTCTTGAAAACATTCTGGTGTATCCTTGCCCACTTTACTCACTAGATCTGGCACTCTGCAATTTTTGGCTCTTCCTCAAGTCAAGTGACCATGAAAAGTAAATGTTTTCAATTGACTCAGAATATTGAAGGAGCCATAACAGAACTAAAAACACTCCTAAAAGAGGATTTCCAAGGGCCAGGGATATAGCTCAGTAGAATAAGTACTCCTGAGTTCAATGCCCGGTACCGCAAAAAAAAAAAAAAAAAGATTTCCAGAAGTGCTTCAAAAAGTAGCAAGAATGACAGAAGAAGTGTTGTCAAAGTGAGGAAGAGTATTTTGAGGGGGTTTAATGGTAATGAGTCCATCTTGGTCACCTTTTGTCCCTGAGACTCAGTCCTCAATACCCATAATTTAAGAGGGAAGTCTTATTTTGACTCAAGTTCTCAGTCTATACTCTGCTGGCTCCAAGGCAGAATGTCTTAGCATGGGCATCACAGAGGAAAAACTGCCCACGTGGCGGCCAGGAGACAGAGTCAGGAGAAGAACCTAGAAGGGAGATCTACTCGGTCACACTCACAGTGACCACGTCTTCTGACTGGCCTCACCCCCTAACAGGGAGTCAGCTACAGTACCCCATAATCAAATCATCTCCCCAAACATGAGGCTTTGGGGACCATTTTAATTCTAAACTATAACAGTGTCTTTTACTGAAATAAATAAAAAAAATTCAAATACTCACTGTATTTTTCAGTCACAGCTCATTTTTGTTTTTGTTTCATCTTTTTGGGACAGGATCTTGCTATGCAGTTCAGGCTGGCCTTGAGGTCACTTTGTAGCCCAGCCTGGTCTCAAACTTGGAATGATCCTCCTGCCTCAGCCTCCTAAATGCTGGAGTATTTTTTTCTTGAAAGCGAGACAATATGATGAACTACAAAGAATTTAATAAATCAAAAGTTAACCTAGGAAGGGTTGGCGAGATAGCTCAGCTATCTGAGCTACCTAATGTCTACTTAGGCAGGTACAGGAACCAGGGTTTAATCCTGGCCGCTACATGTGGCACTGGCCTCACCCTCGGGTGTGCTGAGCCGGTCACCGAGACTGGGCATGGTGGTACATGCCTGTAATCCCAGCACTGGGGAGGCTGAAAATAGGAGGATCACTAAGAGTCCAAGCTATGTAATGAGACCCAAATACATAAATAAATTTTTTTTAAGTTTTTAAAAGTTAGCCTAGGGTAGAGGATAGAGCTCACTTGCCTAGAATGCTGAGTTCAATTCTCAGCACTGCAAAAAATAAAAAGTAAGCCTTAGAGAAATCCTTTCCACTTAGAAAATTCAAAATTCTGTGACATAGTTTAACTGGCTTTTAGATGCACACTTGAGAAAAATAAAGTTAATTGTCTCTGATAAACAGCCTTCCCCAGATCCTGAATCTGCAGATGGACATAGCAAAGCGAAAGGTTGTCAGTAGGGCCACAGTTCCAGATGCTTGTTCTCTGCAGGAACAGAGACAAATCACTGTTTTGATGTATAGTATTTTTTTAATGGAGGATAGGTTTATTTAGCTTACAGTTTGTAGAGGTTTAGTCCATAATCCACTGGCTCCAAGGCAGATAGCAGACAGGCATCATTGTAGGGGAGAAACAGCTCATGGTGGCCAGAAGGTAGGAAAGCAAGCAAGGGAGAAGACAGCCCTCTTTCTGTCCCTTATATTATATCTAGGCTAATGGGGTTAGGGAAGTGCCAAACCTAGTGTTCTGATTTAGTAGTGACACCACCTCAATCCCAGTTCTCCCACTCTAGATCCAACCACTTCTGAAAAAGCTCCACCTATGACTACATGAAGTTTTGGGGCACAGCAAGACACAAACCATAACACAAAAAGATTGTTATTTAATTGCCCTTAGTCCTAACCCTCCTGCCCCAGCCTTCTGACTGCTGGGATCCCAGGTGTGCACCACCATGCCCAGCAGATTTTATGAGGAAAAAGGGAACATGAGGTAATGCACAGGATAGGTATGTGGTGACCTTCAGGGGATAGTCTTCGTTTTCTTAGTTGGACATTCCCATGATTGCCAATGATCTTCAGTCCTTAGTCCTTTAAGTAAGCACAGTATTCTCATGCAATTTAATCCTCATCCTCCCCTTCTTCTTTCCTCCTCCTCCTCTTCCTCCTCCTCCTCCTCTTCCTCCTTCTTCTTCGTGGTATTGGAGATTGAACTGAGCTTTACTCTACCACTGAGCTACATCCCTAGCACTTGTGTTTTGAGACAAGACCTCACAGATTGCAGATTGACCTCCTGCCTCAGCCTACTATTACAGTGTTCTTTTGATTAGAGAACAGAATTAGCAAGTTCTAGCCAATAATTTGATTGTTTGAAGACCACCAAGTGTTCTGGGTTCAGAAAAACTAAAAAAAAGATTAGTAATCAAGGGCCCAGGGACCAGCATTTCTTTTGTTTGTCCACTTTCTATAATGGTTGATTCTAGTGTAATATCTTAGACCTTTTTTTGAGACAGTCTCATTATGTAATTCAGGCTGGTTTTGAACTTACTATGTAGCTCAGGCAGGCCTCAGGAGAATGTGGCCATTGTCCTGCCTCAGCCTCCTGAGTTCTTGGACTACAAGCATGTGCTTGATGTGCTACCATGCCCATCGCAGCTGAGGCCCCATCTCAGGCTTGGTGTCATAGCTCTGGAATCCTTTTGGCCCAGGGGTGGTTTTATGCCCAGATAAGCGTTGTCTCTGTGGGGTTCTCGGTTGTGTCCATTTAAGACCATGCCTGGAGACATCTGGATGTAGCTGAATGTCCCCTATCTTATTTCCTCAACATCCAAGAGGGGTCAGATCTTGTAAATTCAGGGCTAATCCACCTTTCCCAGCTCCTAGACTGTCTGAGAAACTGAGAAGAGATCTGGCCCAAAGGACAGAACAGGAAGACCAGGCTTCATTCTCTTTTTATTCCCTATTTGGTACCTGAGACCCAGGTGCGTGCAGCATCATGGTTCATGGCAAAAATGGCTTGTGAGCCCCAGACTGTCCCAGAAGAAAACACAGGTCATGCTTTTAATGACCAGCAGGCAAAGGCCAGGATCTTGGGTAGTCCCTGCCAATTGCAGTACTACGTCCTGCCTCAGCCTCCTGGGTGCTGACTTACAGGCATGCACACCATGCCAGAGACAGAATAATTACAATTACTTGTTTGTGCTTCCTTGTGGGCCACTGCTGTGCTCGGGTTAGGCCTGTCCTTGGGTGGCCTGAGTTCTTCCATATCGACCGAGGTCATAGACTTCTGTCACCACTTCAGGAGCTCAAAGTAGGAACTCAGCATGTTGAATCCGGTCACCTTTAGGTGTTGCACAGGGCTTCTTCAGTGAGCAGCAACACTTCCCACTTCACTTTCCACTTGGGAGCTCAGATTTCCAGAGAGCACAACTCTAAGGAGGGTTCTAGTGCCTTCTTTTCTTTAGCCTATACTGGGAACTGAACCCAGGGACTTTTTATTGATTTTTGCTTTCATATTGTTGGGTTTTGGGTTTGTTTTTTGTGTTGTTTTTTTTTTTTTTAAAGCAGAGTCTTACTATGCAGTACAAGCTGGCCTTGAACTAACTTATGTAGCCCAGGCTGGCCTCAAACTCACAGCGATACTCTTGCCTCAGCTTCCCAAGTGCTGGATTACAGGCATGCACCACCATGCCTGGCAAGGATCTTTTTATTTTATTTTACTTTTGCTTTTTGAGACAGGGTTTTGCTCTGCAGATCAGGCTGGCCTGGAGCTCACTTTGTAGCCAAGGCTGGTCTCAAACTGGCAATGATCTTCCCACCTCAGCCTCCCGAGTCCTGGGATTACAGGTGTGTGTCATCATGACCAGCCTAAGGGTCTTTTTATTAAGCCACATCTTTAATTTTTAAAATTTTGAGATAGGTCTTTTAGTGACTTTCTTTTCACTGAGACACAATACCTGACAGTCAAAATTTAAGAAAGAAATTTGTCAGATGTGGTAGCACAAGCCTGCAGTCCCAGGGAGGCTGAGGCAGGAGGATCATGGAGATTTCAAAGACAGCCCGGGCTCTACAGTGAGACCCTACCCTGCCCCCGCCAAAAAAAATAGATGAAGAAGAGGAAGAGGAAATGGAGGGGAGGGGAGAGAGGAGAGGGAAAAAAGGAGGAGGAGGAGTTTATTTTTAACTCACAGCTTATAGAAGATGCAGTCCATGGTCCATTGGCTCCAAAGCAGGGTGGCATGCAGGGGGACCCAGAGCAGGAGAAGCTGCTCATGGCAGCAGGAAGCAGAAAGCAACAGTGTTTTGTTTTGTTTTTGGGGTTTTTTTTGTTTTTTTTTTTTTTTTTGTGGAACCGGGAATTAAACTCAGGCCCTTGTGCTTGCCAGGGAAGCACTTATTCCACTGAGCCATCTCCCCGGCCCCAATGTGTGTTTTAATAACATTGGTCCACATACTATAGAAGAAATATATATCCTGCTCAAGGGCTTAACGTGAAATTCTACCAAAACCTCTAATTGTATTGGTTTCTCTCTAGTTCTTTAAGTTTTATCTTTGTTTGTTTGTTTGTTTTGTTTTTAACAAAGGAAGGGCTGGCCAAATAGCTCAGCAGATTAAAGCACCTACAAGCAGGCTCAGGGGCTGGAGATTAGATCCCCAGGCCTGCTGTGCGGGCCCCGCCCCAGGGGCGAACTGAGATGGCAAT